GATATAATATGAAAGAAAACAAAATATGTATTTTGCACATGCATTTATGAAAATATTAGCAATTATTAAAATATAAAAAGTATATTATATTTTACTTTTATTATTTTTATTTATTATTATATTTAATTGCTATAAGAAATATTTGAACACAATAATAAATTTATTAGAAAAAATAATAATGCTAACTAATATCAATTTTTATTTTTATTACACTATAAATCTATAAATTATGTACTACATAGTTTAGTTAAAAGGTGTCTTTCATTAAAATAAAGTTTAAAAAACATTTATCAAAAAAATCAATTTTGAAAAAGAAACAAAAACTTATAAACTGAAATATAATAATAAAAATTACTCTATAATAGAATAATGAAGAACATTAAAAAAATTAAATGTGAAGATACATTGCCAAATAAATGAATAATGATTGCTTAACATATCATTCATATTTGATATATTAATAATAATAAATATATCATTACAACAATTATCAAATATATTAAAAAGGAAACTGAACGTTATGTCAACTTTGAACAGAGAATAAGAAATAGTTGAACACAATATAAATTGATTAGAAAAAATAAAAATGCTAACTAATATCGATTTTTATTTTTGTTATATTATAAATCTATGAATTATGTACTACATAGTTTAGTTACAAAGTGTCTTTCATTAAAGTAAAGTTTAATAATATTTTTATCAAGAAAGTCAAATTTTAAAAAGAAAGAAAAACTTATAAACTGAAATATAATGATAAAAATTAAGAACGATGAGGAACATTAGAAAATTTAAATGCAAAGACATTGCCAAATAAATGGATACTTATGGCTAAAGATATCTTTTATATTTGATATATTTATAATAATAATATAGTAATTACAACGATTATTATAAGAGATTAATATAATTTACAGTAAAATTTTAAGTATGAATAATAACAAATAAAATCCAGTTAACAAAAAGTAATATATTATACAATACATCAACTTTGAACAGAGCTATAAAAATTATTTTATGAAATAACTTTTTCTATATAAACCATTTTCAATATCTTAAACTTTATTTTTAATCTTTATGAAACAGATATATAATTACATGAATGATATACGAGAATGTAACATAAAGAAAGATACAATTTATTTAACAACAATAACGACAACATTAATAATATATTGATTTATTTTATAAATATATTATTTATATTTGATTAATTTGTATATAATTGTTTTACAGTCTTAAATTTTATTTTTTTATAATTAGTTCATTATTTTTTAAAAAAACATGATACTTAACCCTTTTAATGTTGACAAAATTTTGATTTTAAAATACATGATACTTAACCCTTTTAATGTTGTATATATATTTAATTGGAATATTTACACACACATGTGTGTGTTACTATATTCATTCAAACCCCTATGACATGATTTAAATTTAATGAATATATTATAATGATTACATATATAGGGTAAGCAATTAACATTGTACAGGAAAGAGTAAAGATTTCACTCATAATTTTTTTGTGACATCTTTTGACAATTGTGCAAGATGTAAGTTATTTTAGCACCATATAAATTAGATAATCATATATTGTGCTCTTTGAAGAAACAATAGACTTTCATTTATATATATAACTACAATTTTTTCAAACACATATGACATGATTTGGGCTCTTGTTTATTTATTTTGCTCATTTTGTCGTTTATCTGTTTTTCTTGTTGGTTGTTTGTTTAGTTTGTGTTTTTTTTTTTTCTGTTGTTGTTGTGTATTTTGGTGTGTTTGGTTTGTCCATGTAGGCTCGAGTGCACCTTTATTCTCCTGTTGGGAGCGCACTCGAGTATTCTCCTGTTGGGAGGGTCCTCTTTTTTAGTAGTTGTCTTATAGTTGGTTCGGTTGTGTTTTGTGTTTGTTGGTATTCTCGTGTTGCGAGCTTTATTTCGTGTAGGTTGCATTGGTGTTATTGTAACCTCCCAGTTACCCAGGATTCGGGCTTTGCTCGTGTACTTTGCCATTTGGCGTTGTTAATGAGAATTTTATGTCGTTGGAAAATAAAAAAAATATGACATGATTTAACTTATTTAATTATATTGTATAGATTAAGTCTAAATAGTGTATGCATAATGCAACTAATATACTTGAAAGTGTAAGGATTCACTCAGAATTTTTTCTGACATCTTCTGACTACTGTGCAAGTTTAAACAATGTGAGTTCCAAATAATTTAGATAATCATATGTTGATCTCTTTGAAAATATGGACTTTCAGTAAACATTAAGA